GGAGTCTGATTTCATTCTGGTTAAACCATTGCTGGTATGCCCCTAAAGCAAAGTGGTCAAGAAAACCCCAAATCCTTTTCTCCCATTTTGAGACAACCTGATCTGTTCTTGCTTATCTTTTCACAATGGCAGTTAAGGCAGGAGCTCAGCTTCTTTCTGGAGGCAGCACCAACCAGTGGTGTGCTCCAGCAGCCCAGTCTGAATTTGGTCTTAGCCTGCCTTGAGCAGGAGATTGGACTAGAGACTTCCCAAAGTTTCCTTCAATTTGAATGATTCTGCAAATCAGAAACATCAGGAAGGAATTCAGTGGCTGGCACACACAAGGATGCAGCACATGAAGCATCACATACAACAGTACCAAGCTGTTATAAAGTTATGGAACACTCAGGCATGATAATGCCACTTACTTACATAAAAAGAAGTCTATCTTTTTCTGTCAAATAGCTGAATTCACAAAACTACCTGTGAGAACTTGTCTTCTGAACACTTGAAAAACCTTCTCCTAAGTTAATTAACTTCTGTTTCCTGCTTTTGAATGGCCACCTCATGGCTATGTAACTGTAAGAACACTGCCTGCAAGCTCTTTTGGAAGAAGCCATATTTGTACTTTCTTAAAAGATTGCATTATAACTGTTATACTGAGCACTTTGGGGATTAGGTTTTACAGGGTGGACCATTGCCTGGATAAATCCAGGTTGCCTAGGGCTTCCAGTGCCAATGGTCTTTACTCCCTCTGGAAGTTTTGGAAGACACAACACCAACTGTTTGGTTGAAACCAGGTCTTCATACCTGAAGCAAAACTAAACTTGATCTTGTACTCAGATCCTGGCAGCTGGAGAACAGGGAAACAAAAGACTGAAAAAAATGACACTAGAAAAGGTGGGCTAAGCACCACAAACTTCCAGCTGACAAGCAGAAGCGAAAAGGGTTGTTGGTTACAGAAGAATAAGGCAGCTTCTGAGAATATTAACATCATGTCAAAATGAGGACATCTGTCATACTGTAAATACCAAATAGTAGGTAAGTGATCGCTCCAATGTGAAAAAAAACACCCACCAAAACCATCCTTGGAAGAAAGGCTGTCTAATGCTTGTAGAAATGGGGACAAACTTCTTTTTTTCCTTTTTCATCATGTCACATCCCCTCTCCACAGGTAACTTTGTACAAGGACTCTGATGGAGAAGACTTTGGGTTCAGTGTCTCAGACGGTTTATTGGAAAAAGGAGTGTATGTCAAGAACATTCGACCAGCTGGCCCTGGCGACCTGGGAGGTTTAAAACCATACGACAGACTTTTACAGGTAATGTTTCTGACATCACACAGGGTTAGCATGAAGGGACATGACATACAGATTACTTTGTAAAAATACTTGTTAACCACACTGCTGGAGGGTGTTTGGGTTTCTGTCTTTGCAGATGTGAGTGTAGAAAACTGCACAAAGTGTTTTCATCACTTATCTGGAAGAGCCCTCTCAGCTACAGTGCCTGTTACGTTTTAAATAATGAGCACTACTGTTTGTTTGTTGTTTCTGCTGGGAAAGGATGTGTAGGGGGGCAGGAAGAAGGACAAATGATCATAATTTCTCTGTGCCACAGGCTGTGTAGATTTCCTAGAGCCTTGGTAAGAAAAGGCAGCACTTCATGGAAGCTTTTATGCATTGGTACTGAGGCTAGATTTCATATTTATATAAACATTCTTTCAGAATGCTTGGGTTATTTCAGAATTCCAAAGGAGGCATACACATGTTCACTGGGAAGCTGGAATTTCCCAAAGCATTTCCAGACAGATTTATCATTTTTGCTGTTCTTGATACAGCCCTGAGAATTGTTCCTGTGTTTAATCCAAGTGTTGACTGGCATAGTTGGAAAAATTTAATACTCAGCACCACACTTACCACAGTGCCGAGCTGGACTGTGATAAAAAAGTCTAAATTTCTCAACTAGCCCAATAAAATACTTCATATAAATTTTTATATGTTAAGTAAAACCAAAGAAGATTTGAACTGAATTGACATTTCAGAGGTGCTCTATTGGACTTAAATTGATGAACACCATGACACACAGAAAAACTATGTGCTGTTAAATAATCCTTTATGGGGTGGGCATTTGTGACAGCTGCCAACAGCAAGCACCAGGGTAAATATCCTCACTTCAGCTGCACTCTGTTCAAGAGTGAGTAGAATACTGCTGGTTTCAGACCAGACACCATGGCTAAATAGTCTTGTGCCAGGTGATTCTCTGACTGCCATATTTAAATAGGGCTCCACAGTCTCAAGGATAGGTCTGTTTTGCTTGGGATCTCATTTCTTTTTCCTAAACTGGTAACAAAACCCAATATTCTCATCCTTCAGGTAAACCACATTCGCACCAGAGACTTTGACTGCTGTCTAGTTGTGCCACTCATTGCAGAATCTGGCAATAAGCTGGAACTGGTTATTAGCAGAAACCCACTGGCATCCCAGAAAGGAAGCTCAGAACAACAGACTGCAGCAAGTGGGGAGTGGAGTGACCGGAATAATGCCTTCCTTCAGCAGAGTGGGCACACTAATGCTAGCACGGAGACACGGGATCCTACAAACACCTTATAGCAGAAAACCATGTGAGTGGGACATTCGGTAACAAAAGACAATTATGGTGCTAAATCCCTTTAAGATTTCTCTGAGGTTGAGGCTCAGATGCTATACAGCACTGAAAAGCACAGGAGGTCAGTCTGTCTGTCTCAAGGCTTCTAATCCATGGTTACGTTTGAAAAAGTTGAAGTCTTCATTTAGTCACGTCATTCCATTCTAAACAATCTAGCATTAGCAACAGTAGGAAAAATCAAAAGGGCCTTTTCCCCCACCGAGTAAGAAACTGGGCAGATGTTTTAAATATGTTCTACATGTTCCTCTCCCTTCATCAGCAGCTGCTGTTTGAGGGAAAAGCACAGAGTTAACCTCTGCTAATGACCAGTGGTGTCCAGGGTACATGGTTTTTAAAGAACATTTTATCAGAAAGGAGCTGCTGTCTGATGACAGGGAAGAGTGATTTACTGCACTGGGTTTTCTTGCGGCATGGCTACAGCTCTGATTGTTGGAAATCTTCGTTTGCTGGCAAGAAGGCTGCACTCATCAGGCAAAGAATGGCTTAAATGTTTTAATGAAATGCTTGCAGGAAGCTGCAGATTGCAGTGAACATTGCTTCTCCACTTCGGTAAATTGTGTTAGAACACACATTATTCCCTATGCAATGAAATATTTAACGGTATTGTCTTGCAACCTGTGGAGATTTTTAAGCAGAGACTTTTTCAGTGGGATAAAACCTCTGAAGGAGGATTACTGAAAAGACTAAAACTGAGTTCAGACAAATTAGAAAGGTTTTTAAAAGAAAATGGCTTTTTTTAAACAACGTCAGGGGAGATTGATACAAAAGCTCTTTCATGATCCATGAACCTGTAAACTTGTACTGTCACACATGAACTTTTTAAGTCAGTTTCCTGAAGGGACAAAGATCCTATTTAATATGCTTTGTTTTCAGCCTTCTTTATGATAAACATCACCCCTGCAACACATTTTTAGAATTTAAAATTGTAAATATATTTTACAAACACATCACAAATTATCTCCTCCCTCCTCTCCTCCCAAGCAATAAAATACTGCCAGTTGCTTTATATGCTCACCAGCAGCTGCTTTGGTTTAGTCTGGTATTCAAGTTGTTATTGGTAGTTATTGTTATTGGTGAATATAAAGATACTGGATTTGTACATTTGTAGAGTCTCCATATCTAAGCAATCACCTTACAGAGTTGTTTCTGGTCAATTTAAACTGTTTAACTGTATCCCTGTTGCTGTTTCCAATACATGAACAAGTTCACCTGCCCTACACACACAAGTATCTCTGATTTCTATTTCAGCACTGCCAGAAAAGGTCAGAATGACATTCAAGGCTGAATCATGTAAAAAAAAGTTCATGAGTCACTTAAATATGTATTTTTATTTGTAACAAATAGGTATTAAACTGTAAAGTATTTTTGTACAAATTTAATACTTTAATAGCATGATATTTATCGTCTATGTTATGTTTTTGAAATTCAAACTGTTGCAAATATTTGTATGGAAAAACTGTATAAATTGAAATAAACAGTGATTTAAAGACATTAAAAATGAGGTAGTGTTTTTATATTTTTTCCACATTATATTTTTCCACATTTTTAACAAAAAATACCTTGTTTATATTTGTGCTATACCTTTTCCTACACTATGGGTAAAACAAGAAAACTAATTGCTAAAGGTAAGCAGGCTGTCCATATTTTAATACGTGTCTGATGTTTAACATTCAACTTATTAATCTCAAAATTACAATTCAGCAAGTCACATAGTACACAAGAAAAGGTTGAAAATGGAATGTTATTTGAACTCTGACTTGGAATTTTGTTTACTTACCAAGATCATCATCAACATATAACTATTAGCTGAAGCAGCAATAGCAAGTTCTTTTCAGTACAAAGTAGGAAAATTTTTTCTGTACCACTGATTGCAACTATCTTGTTCTGTTTGTATCAAGTTTAAAATCCATAATCCATCAAAGCTTCATGGCCACTAATGTGCCACATGAGAAAAACCTAAAGTCCAGTTTGTTTGGTGGTTTTTTTACTTAAGAGCAAACTGCACCTTTGGCACATCAGCAACAGCCTCTTGTCAATGCTGTAGAGTTAGGGGATGGATAAATTGTGGTATGGAGAGCTAGGAGTCCTTAAATCAAAATACAGCCTCATGTATTTTTTAAGGGAACATCTGGATCCTGTAAGATCTGTAAGTTCATTTTTCACCGAAACAAAAGAATTAGATTATTTTTGATGAGCAATACACCAAGGAATCTACTAAAAACAAATCACTGAAAATGTAAGATTCTCAGGGTAAAACAAGCATAGAGCATACAAAACCAGGAAAGCCTTTGAAAAGCACCTGCATACACAGCTTCTGCAGTTCAGTGATGATTCATAATGAGGACAGTTAATACTTTGTTAGCTTTTGAGAAGCTTCCTAGGAGTTGGTTTTCCCAAAGTTAGATTCTTAAGTCTGGAAGTTCCAAGTGGGGATTCTGCTACTGTTGTCTGTCAAAACAAAACAAAAATGTTATCCAAGTTTGACCCAGACCTAAAATGAAGAAATATCTTCAAAAAAGCTCTTTCTCTGTGACAGACCTCAGAAATTAGATGCAATGAAAGAAAGCATCTGTTAAGTAAGTCTGATTATTTAAAATCAACTTCAATGATTAAATTTTATCTAAATCTTCCGCAGTAGGTCACCTAAAAACTGACATGTGTGCACAAAGAATAAGCTAATATAAGCTAAGCTGGCCAATAGGTCACTCCATTTTCTACTAGTGACATTATAGCTTTTTTTTTTCCATATGAGTCATATATTACTCTGGGAAGACATCTGCCAAATGGGACTGCTTCACCAATTACTGGTCATCTTGAAAATTATTAAATAAATAATAGTAAAACAATCCCAACAGTATCCAGGTGACTTGTGGTGGTGAAAGAGATTGCAAAAGACTGTTTTAAACTATCAGTAAGGGCATACTTACAGGGTGTATTTTTGCAGCAGCCTCAGAATGCTTTGCAAGAGTATGTTGTCTTTTACCAGGGCTTTGCTTCAAACTGCCTGTCTGCTCTTCAGAGACAACTGATGACTCTTGTTTAATGAGGTCACTTAGAGGTTCAGGAGCATCAGGAGCACCTTCATTTACAGCAACAGTCCAAGTCTTGAGCTCTTGATTTTGCCAGCACTCCATCATTTGTTTGGGATGGTTGTTTGTTTCTGCAATTACCTCTCTCAAAAATCTCTGTAAGCGAGTTTTTCTGGGCATGTTCTTGTTGGTGACTGCTCTCCTGAGGTGCAGCTCTTCAGCTACGACATAGACACGGCAGCGCCCCCTGGTCACGGCTGTGTACACGTGCTGCCAGTGCTGCCGGCCTGGATGGCCAACCACGTACACCACAGTCTTCTCCTCGGAACCCTGAAACATGTTTAACAACACCGTTTCAAAGTAACACCTCCAGTAAAGTTTAAAAAAACATAGGACTCGACAAGAATGAGAAAGTTGGAGACAACTGGGGACACGCTCTCAAGAATATTTTCTATCCTGCCTTCAAGGAATTCTGCTTTCAAGAAGGTTTCTGACTCTTCCACATGCAAATACAGTGCATGAGCTCAGCTCACAGCTGCTATGGTTTTACCTGAAATGTGTGAATAGTTCTGGCCCATGCATGTTTTATGTGACATAGCTTCTTCAGTGCCTTATACTTCACAGTGAACGTGGAACCACATGTGCTGCTGATGGTCAGTAAGCGCTGCTTATCAATTTCCACATCCTAAGGAAACAGCACAACACTCAGCAGTGAGCATGGATCAGCAATGTCTGTACATCTGTGTGCATCCATATTCCAGCTTTCCCTGAAATGACAACTGCAATGTCAACCAAGTGAAATAGTTTTAGAAGCCACTAAACCCAAAAGATGGCTATCTTTCACTGACCACCTCCAAGGAAAATAGTTTCACTGTACAGGGCTTACCCTAACTACTGATACTTTCACTGACCCCTTAACTCACTCAACCCAGCAGAAAAAAAACACCATTTTTTATAGATGTATTTGTCAGTCAGCTGTTTTCTGGCAGGAAGAGCTCATGCTGTAACATAGCTTTACTCTTTACTTCAGACCATGTTTCTACCTATATCCAAAACATTACCCATTTCAATTACATTTGAGCATTTACAGAATGTATTTGCATCAGACAATAGCAGACCAACTAAACACATTTTACAAAAAAAGCCCTAATATAGCTTGCCTCTTTCTTGCCTTTCACATTACAGTCTAAGTATGAATTATGGACTAAACTTATGAAGTGTGAATTGTTTTCTTCTGGGGAATTCAAGAAGTAATGAATCAGTTGCCACTGAGGGGTTTTTTTTGTGCGAGTTCTTACACCAAGGAATTACCCCTGTTATGAAAAATATGTCTCCATTGCACAGTCGTCTGTCATCCTCAGCAGCCCCTGCAGTGATGGTGGTTTCTCCATGGCCATTAGAACCCTCTCCAAAACCACAGCCTGGCAAGAGATCCTTGAGATATGTATTCCTCATGCAGGAAATCTTGTCCCCAATTTGAAACGAAAGTCGCTTTTTGTGGTCTCTGGGTCAGAGAAAGAAAAAGGGAGAAATGTATTTAAAAAATATGCATTTACTCTCTCTCATTATTTCTTCTGTTTCCCCTCTCTATATTTGGCCCAGATAAAAAACCTTAGTAATACTCAAAACAGTTAAGATAACACACATTTACTTCTTGAACTTCTGTAAAACCTTTTGGCAAAAACCAGTAATCTAGAGTAGCACAAAAAGCCTGCTCTCAAAAAACCTTCAGAATCTATTTAGAAATCATACAGGGGTAAGAAAAAATTAACCTTGAAGGGTTTTTTTCAAGTTGCTTTTATGTGAATTTTAAATATTCGACAGTAACTCAAAATCTTGGAATTCACACAATGACAACTGAAATGAAAGGCATTTTACCACTGTTCATAGTCCAGGTTGAAATTGAAGAACCCATCAAGAAAAATTTATTACATAAATGATTGCTAACATAACGAATCAGATCGATGTGAAACATGAAAACTTTTACAATCTTATTTTAGGGTGTTGGTCTGGCTGCAACACTTTTAAAAACAGAGTGACACTGTTCACAGGAAAAATGACAAAATATTGGCTTACCTGGTTAAATGATTTGAATAGTGCTGGCAACAAAGTTCATTTATTAGATTGCAGTCTTGCCTAAATCATACAAAACAAGAATATGAATAAATGAAGATGAACAAAACATACGATTACAGGCAATGTCACATTAGCATTAATTCATAAATAATGGGAAAAGCCCTTTGTAGCTGTGATGACTTTTTGACCAACAATTAAAAGCAATTGCTGATTTGGGGTCTAGAAGACAGAGCAGTAAAAGAACAGTTTTGTCTAAATACCATGGAAGGTGAGGCAAGGACGTTTGTGCTGCATACCTAGATTAGCTAGATTTGGCTTTAAGAAGAAAACTAAAGAAAAACTAAACCGTGGACAGATTATTTTCTGTGGATGTATTAAAAATAGCCAAAAGATTGATCTGCTTTTTAAAGACCTGGAATTTTAATGAAGTACCTAGAAAAATATACTAGAAGAATCTTACACGGAAGTCACTAAAAACAGTATTGTACCTGGATGAAGACTGGAGAAATAAAATTGATACCAGAGTTACTCAGCATTCACAACAAACAGGTGAACTAGCTAAAATCACTTATTTGCACATCAGGAACCTGCAAACAGTGGGCGGTTTTTAATTGCTGAGAAAAGATTCTTCACAAATAGAAGTGGAAGAGGTGTTTCTTCAGTGTCCTTTTGTGCAGAACTGCAAGTTTACGGACTACTGGTACTACCTTGCGTTCCATTTATCCTGTCAGTGTTTCTGTGGAGTTATCCATACTATCCATGCTCCTGTGATCATTCATGGGGTCAGTGATTATTAACCTTCCCAATCTTTCCTCAAAGCACATTACAGCCCTACATCCCAACCCTTCTTAAATGATAGATATTGTGCTTCCAAATATCCAAACTGTAGGCATTTGTCACTTCAGAGCAGAAGCACTAATGTCCATCAAATTAAATGGCTAAACCTGACCCTTGTTACACAGTCAAAACACACTATCTTCTGTTAGTTGGTCAATGCCCACTTGTGACAGGAGCATGTGGAGACCCCTAAGAGTGGGTTATGTGTTCCATCACATCTGCCACAGTAGGGTATTTGAATACAGACATTTCTTTGTATGTTGCAGGTTCCTCTTACAGTCAAGTTCCCACCTTCTGAAGAACACCACGCTGTTAGCAAACACCAGAGCACAGGTTCTCACCATCTACTACAAAACCTGACCACTTATGTCCATCCTTTGTTTCTTTAACATACACTGTAGAGATGAACATGAACACAAAGGCAGAAAACATGGTCCAAAATAACATTAAGCTTAGGGAAAAATGAAGCAACTCTCCGTGGAGAGACTGGGGCAACCAGAAGGCACGGGACAGACATCTGGCCTGTTGTTCTGTCTAGTAATTTTATGGTACCACCACTAGTCTGCAACTCAACACACTCAGCTAATTTTACATTGTGGCTGCTAGCATGGTCTTTTGCAATGTCTGCCTGCATACTCCATTACCTTCTGAAAGCAATGAATTGTGATTGTTCAGCATCCTCCAATCCTGGCCCCTTTTTAAGTAAAGTCTTTATGGCAGTTTGCAAATCTGTTTGAAAAGACATAAAAGGTAAGGCATAAAAATAGGCAGAGCAATTTAAGCAAGAAAAACGTAATTCAACATGAAATCGTCTTTGCTTATTTCTTGCTTCAGTGACATTTCAACTTGTTTAAAACAAGAAAAAAGAAACATCATGCAGTTAACTCCCTATTAAAATCTGAGAAACGAGAGTGATATGGAAGGAGACAAATTCTTATTTCTGTGCTTAAGAGCACCACAGAACATATTTCATGCAAAATAAGGTTTTGATACAGCACATTAAAGAGGTAAAGACAGGACATTTTTAAGTTGCAGACCTATACATTTAGATTTCATAGAAGAAATCTACTTTTAGCATTCTGTTTGCTGAGTAAGTTACTGTAGTGGGATATGGTGATAATATTTGCGCAATTTTTTTCCATATTCCCCTTGAAGCTTTTCGATGCATACAAAGTAGAAGACACTTATACCCAATAAACAACAAAAAACCTCAAACAAACCCAAAACCAATGGTCCCAGCCCTGACCCCAAAGCATTTTAAAAGAAATACTGGTGTCCTTTCTGCTTCCATTTTCCTAACTTGATTCTAGAGTTGGGAGCACATTCCTGTCCAGCACACCATCCTGTTACAGTTGCTGTTTACTCCAAATGATGCATGTCTGAAAATCTGATCTGTTAAGGTTTGACAGCTCCAGCTACAACACAAAGAGACAATCACATTTGATTACACTGGTGGAAACTGTCCCCCATTTCAAAATGTCACTGGAACCTATTCCCTGCACTTAAAGGTCTTGGTGTGTGCACTTACAGAAGGCAAAAGGTAAACTATGAATGTGGCATTTAAATTTATGCCACAAACAAAACCAGACTAAAATCCTCCCAAAACCTTAATTCCAGGCAATAGTCTATGCTTTAGCAAAGGGAAAATCAAGACCACAAATGGCCTGTACACACATACTGTCACAATTCCCGCCAGCAGGCAAAGCAATAAGAATGAATTTCTTCTCTGGGCTTGGCACTGTCATTTCCCCATTCCAAGCAGAAACTTGCAGCACCTCATCAAATTCAGGAAGCTGCCGGTGAGAGATTCTTGACCAAAGCAGTGAAGGAAAACAGAAGTTATTTCCAGTTAAAGGACTGCACTGTATCATCATCTGCATCAGCCTGAAGTTCACCATTTATAAATGTTTTGTCTTCTACACTTCATACAGCAAAAAACTCTTTCCTCTGAGCATAACCTAATTTCATGTAATTTATTCTCTAAACCTTACAGCACTGCAGAGATACTTAGTATTAACCATACAGTTCTCATGGGAGTAGAATGGATTAAAATGGAAGTGTTACTGAAAGAAATACGTGAGAATGTTTGTAAAAGTCTTAGTCATTCTGGACATCTTGCAAATGTTCAGATTATTCTCAAATTCCAATCAACATCAAAAGCTCTTGAGCACTTGAACCTAGATTTTGTTGTTTGAGGTTTACAAAAAGAAATCCCACACTGACAGTAAACAGGATTATTTCCAGAACAAAAGTAATGCAAATTCCGGAAACATTCAGAGGTTCTAGGTATTAATACAGAAAAAAAATTTAGATACTCTATGATGTAATGGCCCTTGACACCTAAACTCTCAAAGAATTTGCATCTGTTTTCACTGTTGTTACACTTACCAGCAGTGTCTTTCAAACTTCCTATTTAGAGAAGCAAATGTGAGACATTTAAGAAGGCATAAAGTCACTTGTGCATGCACAAGTCATTTGAAAACAACAGGAGAGTATGTGATAGCGAAATACATCCCATGAAATTCAAGAGTATTCCAGCACACACATTTATTTTTGTCCAATATATTTACTTCTGGAAAAATCTGTGGGGTTTTGTTGCTGTTGTTTTGGGGGGTTGTTTTTAAAACAAACGTTACTGATTTTGACTACAAAACCTAACAGAAGCAGTACTACAGAGTCAAACCTGGATGCACTGCTATTTTGCAGGCAGAAGACCAGGCCTCCTATGAGAGTACTTCACACATACATAAGGAAATCCTACCTTGAGGCATTATCTACAATGAGCTGCGATTCGGCTCTGTGGTTAGTTCGCAGTTCCACTGAAAAGCCTCTTGGTTTTAGACCCTCAAAGACATCAGCTAACATGTTTCCTGGGTCTATGCTTGGTAGCTGTCTAGTATCACCTACACAGAATGCAAATTAGTATTTGTGAGAAGCAATAACAGATCATGTTAAAAACTCTCTTGAAAAAAACCCAGTGGAATTAGTAAATACTCGACCCTCTACAGAGTAACATACATTCTCAATACAATTCACATGAAATAAAACTTTCAAGAATCTAAGAAACTCTAGGAATCAGGCTGTGGTGTAGTTTAAGTTTTTCATATTCCTCACTCAGTAATGCTTTACTATCAAGTGCAAATCCCTCTGCTTGATGAACACTGACAGGGATCACATCTTATTCAAACACATTTTGAAAGCCACATATTTAAAAACAAATGCCATTAATGTCATGTCAAAAAGCAAACCTCTGAGAAAGCATAAAGATTTGACTTTACATTTTTTTGCTCTTCTTTTTGAATTAAAACAAGATGATCCTAGCAGTAAAATGACACAAAACCTCCCTTCCAACATGTGATTAATATGCTGACATTAGCTTCTTTAGATTCAAGGAAATCAGAGGTTTTTCCACTTGCAAGATGTAATAAGCTACCACATGGAAGTCATAAAACATTCAAAATCAATCAAAACACTGCTAAACAGAGAACAGAGATACTGATACTTTCATACTGCCAGCTGAGATGGAAAAGTGTCTGTCTCATCTGACCTTAAGGATTAGCAGAAAAACCCAAGCAGAGAACAACGTAACATTCTGGGGGTTTTATGAGACTTGGTGAGACCAGTGGCAGCTCTGATACTTACACTGTATATTATGCATTGTTGAATATTGTATAAAGCAAAATTTGCTGTTCCACTTACCTAGAATAATAAGTTTAGCAAGCTGAGCATGCTCACACAAGAGTTTTAAAATTAAACTAAGAATGTGTACAGACACCAAACTTCCTTCATCCACAATCAGAACTGTCACAGTAGAAAACTTCCATGGCTGTGCTCGTTCACTCTGCCTCCATGACTTAAAACTACAGATAATCTAAAAACAAATAAAAATAATGCAAACTTTGACACTAACCAACTGTAAGCAACTGTCTTATAAAAGCAGACAGAGTATGGTATCTTCTAATGTATGTAGAGCTGAAATTCTGCAGACACAGAAGACTCAACCATTCAGTCTTATTTTCCTCCCTGTTGAGGAGGAAACATTCCTAGCTTAAATTATATAAAAGCACAGACAAGCAGTCATCTTTTTCTGCAGGAACCATAAAGCATAAAAGGTCAGCCATTAGGTTGCTTAGTAACAGAGCACCTCCTACTACAACTTGCTGACACTAATAAATGCCCAACGTTTCTTTATATGGGTTATTCCACACCTCCAATGTCTTCCTGGCACCTTTCGCCACCTAGGACAAACTAGACTTGGCCTAAGTTTATTAACAAAGAGTTTAGTTTTTACTTACTCCTTTAAAAATTTCCCTAATACTTAACAGTAATTAAGAAAACATTATGCAAATAAAATTTCTCTCACTATTCAACCCCAGGCTACTGATCTTCTCATGTATGTGCTGGTATCTATGATTGCTAGGCAACAGGATACTAGAAAACGGCTCTGCCACACGGAAAGTAATTCTGTCTTTATTAAAATAAAAAACAAAACTGAGAGGCTAAAAAGACCAGATGCCCTAGAGAGGCATAAATTTGAGATGTATATAACTAGGAAAAAACCCAAAGTTATAGCAAGTAACATATTTCAAAAGACTAATTTATGATTCCTCAATATGTAACACTGACTTGCACACGCTGACAAGCTGTACCTAAGCATTATCATTAATAATGAAAATAAGCTACACATTTCATAAGGATAATTCAATAACTAGTTTTCTTCCAAAATAATAATGGACAGTCCCAAAAGGTCTTTCAGAACCCAACTTCAAAAAACCCAAAACAACACCAAACCCCACAAACCTTACCTGATGCAGCGTATATGCAGGGAGCTTAGTTTTTTCACTCAAAAGACTTGCTGCCCTCCCTGTAGGTGCAGTGAATAGTACATTCAAAAGTTTTTTGTCATAGGTATTCTCTGATTCCCAATGATGACCAAGTGTATTCCATTCATCAGATGCATCCAAGTCTTCTTCAAAGTCCTTAGAAGCAGCTTCCACTTCTTTTTCCATCTGCTTTAAATGACGAAAAAGGCAGCTAACTACTGTACTCTTCCCACAGCCTCCTTTTCCACTTATGATTGTGACAGGATTAGAACAAATCTTTTCCACAGCCATCACCTGATCTGAGTCTATCTCTCGTTTAATCTGGGTATCAGACACAGACCCTACTTCCTTTTCAAGGAAGTGATTTTCACCATTCTGATTGTCTGGATTATTTTCCTTCAGATGTTCCATTTCATGTGCCTGGGTAATTGTTATTTTGCTATCTACTGTTTCTCTTGATGTCTCAGAAATGTTAAGTATCTTTCTCACATCAGCATCCAGTTTCCATGTGTGGTTTGACAGAAGGCGACCTATATACATCGCAATGTCCTTTTCAGAGTTGTAAAGGTGACGGAGGAACACCAGCTTCTTCTCTCTAATCACTATCTCCTGATCTTTCAAAAATTTGAGAGACTGCCAAACATGCTCAATGGACATATCTTTAGATACGAAACAAGCTAATTCATCTTGATCTTCATAAGTGTGTCCCATTTCTCTACACTGTTTCTTGAGCTTATCATACAGAATTAATGCATTCTTCTGCAATTCAGGAATCTTCCAGAGGAGACGGTCACACTGACGGAAGGCAGCCCACGTTGCCTCACAGTAAGAAAGCTTCAGTTCCTTATAAACAATCTTCTCCCCCAAAAAAATAAAAGCAAACATATGTTTATTTCAGAAGATGTTAGCCTCTTGCTGAGTAACATTCTTCCTAGAAAAGACAAATTGCAATTCAGAGGGTGGAAGTTTGCGAAAATGCATTTATTTTTCATAAAGCATGAAGCTAAAATGCTTTTCGAGCAACATGAAAGCAAAATATTTAAAAGCAAGCTGGTGTGATAATTCCTCTCACCCTTCTGTGTGAAACAGAAACTTTAAAAATAAAAAACCTAGCACAGAAATTAGGCATTAAGGAGAACTCAAGCATATCTAATTAGCACAATTTCAAGTAAAGACACAAGAAGTGTAGACACAGCACAGAAAAGGCACTAGAATACTGTATTCAATTCTGAATGTGCTACCTCAAGAAATACACAACCTTTACAGACTCTACCAGAAAATAGTGAAAGACCAGGATATGCAAAAAAGATACACTACTAAGGGGGGGAAAAAAAAAAATTAATCGCACCAGCTCAGTCCTCAGAGAAAAAGCTAAAGAGAGTCTTCGTGCAATAAAAAAGGTGCAGTGAGAATGCAGGTCCTTGGTACAAGAATCAACGCGAGCAACAGGTCCATTTTGCATCAAGGAAGAGTCAAACTGGACATCAGGAAAATCTTTTTAAAGGGAAGGATGTGAAACACTGGAATACACTGGCTTCACTGCACTGAAATCGCAGGTCTTAAAGGCAAGTCAGGACATCTGTCACTAAGCCATTGTGCGGCTGAAGCAGATGGATAACTAACCATATTTGTGAACTATTAAGCTATAGCTCCTGTCTGTGGTACAGGAGTGCTAAGGTGAGATGCAGAAAAGGGAAACAGGAAGGTAAGCAACCACTGCAAATCCCATTATAAGAAACAAACGCCTGGACCTGATGACCTCTTACAGTGAAACTTGTCTCCCTTACTATGAAAGCATAGATACTGTTTTATGCATTAAGAACAGAAAATCTCATTTGCCAGTACAAAACTGAATAGGGCAATTGAGGATTTTAAATTAGCTTTCTTACTTTTGGCCCAATTACCTCAAGCAGTTAACTTTTTATTCCTTGTAGAAAGTACTAAACAAATGACTGTAACAAAACCACTTTTAAAAATCTTCTGAGATTAATTTATTGTACACCAGCTGGAAAAAACCCAACACCTTTGCTAAAACTGAATCCAGCACATCATCCATTTCCAAATGAACTATGCTTACCCACTGCAAATGCCTATTTAATAAACTGAACATAACTAAAACAGCACTGTAGTATAATGGAGCTCAAACTAGCAAACACTATACTTTTGCCATGCTTAATATTACTTACCCTGCTAAATCCAAGTTTCCATGGCTCATTCTTTAATATCTTATCCAATTTTGTTAGCATCTCATCTTGAAAATCTGCCTCTTCACCATCTGCACCATTGCTTTCTTCAGCCTTTCTTTGCCAAGACACCATATCCAACAGACAGCAAAAATGGCGTGGCAGAAGAATGGGCAAGAACTCCAGTATCACCGGAAAAGTCAGAGCTACCAACACCACCTTTCCTGCAACTGCATGCACCATAAACAGTGAAAGACTTAGGCAATATACAAAGATACTTGTAAAGGCAATTTAAACTGACTCCAGCTTTCACCCTTCTGCCTCCCCTACATGCAAAACATCCCAAATTTCTTTCAGTTTCTTACTACTTATAATCTTGTTTAAATTCTTTTAAAGTCTGTTTTCTCTGAACTACCTTGGGGAAGAAAATGTTAAAAGATGACACAGAAGCAGCAACTAAATGTACTCATTTGGAAAACCTGTGTTATGCACTCGGTTTAAACTGCATACCCAGCAGCATTTTGTAAAAAGGCAGTTCAGACCTCACCACACCTGCCCCTTACCTAAAAATAATTTTCATACAGATCTACAGAAGAACATTTAAAATTCAAAATAAGATCTGTAGTATCAGATCAGTAGAGGAATTTAGAAAAACAGTGCACTCCACTGGCTTTCTCAATGGCCTCAAGCTTAAGCTACCTCCTTACCTGTTTGTACGAGTCTGGGGATTAAAAGAATAATGAAACTCATTTACTCTATACCTTGCTTTAAAAAAACAATTTCAGAAGAAAGTGAAACAAATTTCAGAAGAAAGTGAGACTTTTAGAAGCTTCATCTCTTGGGGATAAAAAGGCTCTTTTAAATTAAGTATTAATGAAAATTTAAAACACTCCTTTTTCTAGGTGTTTTTTCTGATCACTGTCTTACCCTCAGAAAGGCAAAGATAAAATCTGTTACCTTTTAAGCAAGTACTCAATTTACACACAGAGAATCCACACACACTATTTCCACACACAAAAATATAATGAAGGCTTGAAGAACAAACTGCTTGATCGAGAAAGAAGAAAGCTTAAACTGTAGCAATGTAATTTACGTTAGTTATTAGGAAAACTCACCCACTACAAAACAGTGAACAGGATACCCAGGCACAATGGGCAATCTTCACCCCTGAGGACTCATGAACATACTGGACAAGACTCAACCAAAAGTGATCCATATATCCCATTAAACCTCACACAGCAAACCAGATCGGTGTTTCTATCACGATGGATTCCTATCCCTTTGTGGTTATGAAAATATTTGAAGTCCATAAAGGACTTTCCTACCATTACAAAAACACAACTAAAAGCCTGAAAGTCTGTAGAACTGTGAAAATTTCCCTCTCCTTACACATGTGATTTGGAGTAGTTGGCTCAAGTCTACAAGAAGCTCTGAACTCTCCCGTTACACCATTTGACCTCCAAGAGTTATCTCCATGCTTTGACCTGACACTTCCCAGTAAACCAGCTACTGGAAGACTTTGTTTGCTTATACATAACAGTAGGATAGACCCAATCCTGCACTGTCTGTGTGGTTATGCAAAGATCACTGAAGCAAAACATGAGAGCTAATGCTGAAGGCACAGCTCAGACATCCTGACTTCCTCTGTATTTCAGTGCTTTGCTTCAAACCAGCTGTAGTCTGGTCTCACAGACTGAATGCCTGTTAGCGACCGGAGCACCTTAGGCAT